CGTCGAAGCAGACCTTGACTGTGTGTGAGAAAAGACGACCACACGAATCAGAAAAGCAGAAATCCTAGACTGGCACCTTAAACAATCCCAGTGGTGGGGAAGATGAGTAGGTTGATTGAATTTTCATTCAGCATGTTTTGCTCAATGCTATCGCGAAGAGATGGACCTCCTGGCATGGCGGCTTGCGCACTTCAGTAAATCATTGAGCTGCATTGCAGGATACCCATGCGGCATCCACAGTCTCCTACCCCCTGTTTTGAGGTTTGGAACAAGTGTGGCAAGTCACGCTTAAAATTTGATTACTCTAGTGGTCTCGAACCATCAAACCCTGTTTTCGGTCAGGCTTTTGAGCTAAACGCTTCGGTTGAAGACCCTTTCAGTCCTCCATGTGGTATCCCAGCTCACATACAACCTTGAACTCGACTTACCGCATCCGCCGTAGCATGCTGACGTCAGTCGGAGTGCCTCATTGGGCAAAATCCCCACAGCTTGGCGGCTAGTCGCCTGTTAGACTAGGCCTTGGAGACCGCAAATTCCCTCTGTGTGCATCATTGGAACCATAGCACTTCGGCCTGAATAATCGCTACTTGGCTTTTTCACAAATAACTCCATGCATCACTTCCCTCCACATGGAGCTTTTACCTCAGTCATCGGGCACACGAGCTTGAATGAGACGTCTCCAGCCCTAATGTTCACTGCCCTATGCTTCATTATCAGGTTGTCTTTGGTATCTGTAACGGATTTGTTCCAGCCTGTATCATTGTCAGTCTCCGACTTGTTTGGCATACCATATCGTCGTAATTAACCCTACCGATCCCATTCAAGTCTGGTAAAAGTTACATTGGAGGCTACCAAAACGCAATCGCCACCTTCGTCATACTGTTGTCGTAACCCATTTATCCTACTACCGGCCTCCCTTTTTTGATACAATGTTTGACGAACCTTCCTCACCTCCCAACCCCTCAACCTGCTTCATTTATGATGGCATCGTTCAGCTGAAACACCCTTTCTGTGCCTGTTGATACTATCCAAAGCCAGCAACGCTTCTGAGGCACCGGAGGTCTACATCATCTGTCGGCAAAGACCGCCATACAACAACACAGCCCTTGCTGTAGTCTGATGCACGTGACCCTTAAAACCCAGTGGTATGCCATTTTGACGTCACATGTGACGCAAATTAGCAAACGCGATTCGGACTTCAGAATTCTTGCACTGACTTCATCAGACACATTTCGGTCAGAGCTAACACAACTACCGAGCTATGTAGAATTCTTCACAACCTCCAATAATTCTCCTTGAATTATAAGGGATATGTTAAGAGACTGCACATTTCGAGGCATGACTTTGCAGTTCGAAGATGCTAGGCGCATGCCGAAAGATGGTATGACGGTGGTCAGTCTATTCAACAGGGCTTGTGCTGTGTTTAGGTCTTCAAAGATAAGAGAGATGTCCTCTCCGTACTCCAGATTGACAAGGTTTTCACCAACAACGACATGTACCCTGGGGTTTTGAAGACCTTGTGGCGTCCTTCATTATTCCATCCACGGCAAAGTTAAACAAGGATGGAGAGAGAGAGGTCTCCTTGTCGGACGCCTTTTTCTTTGGAAAAGCTTTGAAGAGCTCACCATTCACTCACCCCCAGATCTGTGCGAATACGAGGATCGACTTAGGTTTACATACCCTTTTGAGCAAGTGTAGTTAACAGCACTGACGGATTGACGGGATCGAGCACACCCTTGAAGTCAAGGAATACCATGAGTGTGGCTCGTCTGTATATGTGGCGTTGCTCCAGCTTCTGACGGAGTGTGAAGATGTAGTCGCCGAAGCCTCTACCTGGTCGAAATCCCGCTTGACCCTCACGAGTCAAGGTTTCGCATGCCTCCCTAAGACGAAGGAGGCAGAAGCCTTGCCACAAAATGAGTCAAACTAACAACTCGGTGGTTACCACATTCTTTGCGAATACCCTTTTTGAAAATGGGCACTAGTGTCTTTTCACATTAGTTGCCTGGGGTAGTCTGTCTCGCGGATAGACAGACAGGCTAGCCAGGTACTGACTGAGGAACACCGCCATCCTTGAACAGAGCAAGTGGAAGGTCGTCAGGACCGGAAGCACGATGATGCTTTGGTAGATATATACACTCAGACACTTCTGAGGTTGAAGAAAGCTCCAAATTCACAGTCTGCCTCTCTGTTGAAAGCCAGGATTCCGGAGTGGAGGTAGTAGGCGGCGAGCTGCATTGGTGTTCGAAGTGCCTCGCCCAGCGGTTCAAACCTTTGCTGGATATCAGGGAGTCATTGTGGTCCCTGATAATTTCGCTGACAGGCTTCCAGGGACCACTCGAACTACTCAAGTGGTGTAATTTGCGGATGTTTTTGGCATTTTCTGCATCTTCTATTTCTTCGGCCTTTCGGGTCAACCATGCTTCTCAGTGTGCACCTCGTCATCCATGAACCAACGAAACGAATGGTAGAAAACCTTCAAAACCTCGGATTTTAGAGCGTTACTTGCACGAACTTTGTTGATTTGGAGTACACAGAGACATTGTTCGCGTCCTTGCAGACCAAGTGAAGTACAGGCTCTGTTGACTAAACTGACCTCCATACTACCGTCCTTTGGCATGCACCTACAAAGTGCGTAATGATACTTCAGAAAATGCTATCTCCGAAAGCGTTCTCAGCAACTGGAGGTTGTGGAAATTTTTACGGATCACAGTGGTTGTATTAGCTCGAACGGCAATGCGTGTACACGAATCTCAAAGGCCCGAATCACGTAATTTGTCACCTGTGGTGTTAAAAAGGCATATGGATGAACCTTGTTGGTCGTGTGTAACAGGCTACAGAAAGTGCTCCGTTGGTATATGGTTGCGCGTCATTGCCTCTGCGGTCAGATGATGTGAAGTGTCTTCAGGTTCACGAACACTGATGTCTCAGAAGCCATACTGCTGTCGGATAGCGTCGACGAAGTTGCAACGAGGTAATCAGAAAACGGGAACTTGGTTGTGCAGCAGGTGCTCCAGTCGCAGAAAACATCCAGCACTGTCAACTACGGTGGCTCAGCTATGTGTTACGCATGCCAAAGCATTGTTTGCCGAGACGAATGTTGTTCTTCATGCCTCCTTCTGGATGGCGCCAAATGCAAGGTGGATGACGTATGACTTTGCAGAAAGGTGTGAAAGAGGTGACGATGTTTGTGTTGTTTGCCCAAACACCCTTTCAAGATGGACCCAACTAAAATCAGGTGCATTGCTTTTGCTCATAAACTAAAATGAGACTGGTCCAGGAAATTGCTTTCCTGTAGGTGTTCAACATTACCTGGTCTCTTCAAAATGCTAGGCAGAATGTAGTCGTAACTGTGTTATGTGATTCCACTTGAATAAGTATCCCTGGGTTGGTGATACTTTAGAATGCGACCTCATCATTTACACTGCATGCGGTGTTGCATTTTCCGGGTGGGAATTTGTTGTGTATGTAACGCCTATTTTGACCCTTGAGTTGATTCTCGCCCTCTGTGGTATAAAGAACGACACGTTATCCTGATATAGCCGTTAAGGGATAGATTCAAGAGACTGGAACCTCATGTGGTGGTTTGTGTAACTCGATGACCCACTGGGCTATATTGGGGAGTTTCACTCTCACCCACAAGAGTTTGTCATACTAGGTTGATCAGCGAATACAAGTTTGATGAACAAAACATTCCGGTCCTATAGATTTGGGGTTGAAACAGGTACGACAGCTTAAAATAACTCATACTACTGCGGCAGTATGTTGAGAACCACCCGCTACCTTGAGCAAAACTTTGTTCAAGAGTCCTAATCGTCCTCCCTTCCATGTATGGGTGCTTGACTGACAGCCATGTAACTCAACTAAAAATCACAACTATGTACCTATAATGGAGGCTAAGGAAGATTGCTACACATGTATTTATGCACCGATAATGTAAACTCAACCTATGTTGACTGCTTTGTTTATACACGCAGCAGACAACACCAATGATGCAACTTCGTTGTAAAATTAACTACTTGGAAGTAGTCTGCACTCAAATCAGATTGTATTAGCTTCAGCACTGTAGTGCAACTGAATTAGCTTTAATTTGTCTCTTGTTTTGAAGAACCAATCACTAGAGCAGGGTGCATATAGTTCTAGCCACACAATGACGACCACCATCGCCACACAAAGCCGCACTTTACTTCAGACTGAAAAATTCCTCATGAAAGAAACATGATGTGATACCAATTAGAAGCAGGTACAGGCCATTTGGGAATCAGAAGACTCTTACAAGCACCGATCTGTGTGTTCGCGCTAGGAATCGGTCACTTTCATGTCTGGATCTACCTTTGTATGCTCTCTCAGTGACGTGTTGTACTCACTTTGTACTGTAAGATTCGCTAATCTGCTGTCGATGTTAAAGGTAGGATTTCACATAATGGCTGTGGCAGTATGCTGGGTTGTTAATCCGAGGTTTCATATCTTGTAAACGTGTGATTGTCAGAATTTTTCCACCCTGAAGCCATTGGTTCTTAGCTAATTGACTGACACAATGAAACAAGTCGTGACTATTTGCTCCTTAGCTCCATTTCTCACTTATCTAACTCCGAACCCTCCGCTCATTTATGTTGCTTTCACAGTTCGCCCTCTTGCACTGTTAGCATTTTGTAACCGGCTTACATTTGTAATTCTCAGAATAACCCATTGCTCCTTTGTTAATTGCCTTGTTTATGGTCTTAGTAGCCCTCGTGTTTCCCCAGGACTGCGGAACATGCACTCACCGAATAAAACCATTTGACCTCACCATTCCTTTGCAAAGGCACTGATCCCTCGTGCCATCAACCCTTCCACATTTGCATCGCTGTATCCTTCACATTTGATCAGTGTGTATATATTGTCGCCGTTTCGTTCTCTTCCATTAGACATTGGCTTTTTGCCGTGGTGCTGAACAGTAAAGTTGTCCGCGTCCTCGGCCATCTTCACAAATCATTAGCTTCGACTATATCTCTTATTTCAGCCTCTCCAGTTCCAATGGATCATCACAATGATGATATTGATAGCAATTACGATTTTTGCTGTGATTCGTTTGACCGCATGAATCTTAAAGAGGGTCTTCTTCGTGGTATATTTGCCTATGGTTTCGAAAAGCCGTCTGCCATTCAGCAGCGAGCGATCCTTCCTTCTATTGAGGGTCGTAATGTGATAGCTCAGGCTCAGTCAGGCACAGGAAAGACTGCCACTTTCAGTATTGCAATGCTTCAGCAAATCAACACCGCAGATCCACGCTGTCAAGCTCTCGTTTTGGCTCCGACGCGGGAGCTGGCCAAACAAATTCAGACCGTAAGTCCGTTTTGAATCTCGGATCATGCCCATCAGGACTGTAAAATGGTCTAGCTCATTATAGCGTGGGTAGTGTGTGACTCGGGTTCTTGGGCAAAAGGTTCTCAACTCAAACTCCCTTCTGGATGTTGTCATGCGTTAGTTCTCAGGCTTGCCAATGATTGTATGGTAGCTATGCTACAGAAAAATACCAGAGCTAAGCAATTCCATTTTGGTTGAAGGACGAAATTTGTTTTCACATCACTCTCGACTGGGCGGTGCTCTTTTCTTCCAAGTGCGACCAGTTCTGCAGAACCAGTGGCCTCCGGTTCCTATTCAGCTCGCCATCGGCGAAAGTTCTTGCCCTAATCTGCTTATACGGCATGCGAACTCGTCCTTGTTATGACTTCTCGATCAGTGCGGGCGGAACGCAAATCAGTTATCATATCTAAAGTGGAAAAGATGTTCCTACTGGAACCGCTTTTGTGGGTATCCCGACACCTTGAACAAAGACCCAGGGATTGCTGTTTGAGTTGACCGATGAACAGCTATTAAGTCCGTCTCGTATAGCAGATGGCCGGATATCAAATGTATGCACGGCTGAAGATGCACGCTAGCTGGTACGCTGATAGCTTTTAAACGGATGAACCGGTTTTTCCCTTGAGTGTAGAATAAACGCGACAATCGCACCAAAATGTGTAAATAGGAGAACGAGGATGCTGTGCACGCAAACTCAGCAGATTCTGCAACCCAAAGTTCCAATGGAGATTTCATCCAGTAAGTGAATTTATTCTATGTTGAAAAATAATTTGAACTAATCGGTCTCACACGACTGGAAAGTGACAGAGCTATATCCTGTCTGGCTGCGATTTGCTGCCTAGCAGCTAATAATGCTCGAAAGCCATAGTCCCTAGCTTCCAAGAGATTCGTGAGAGACGCACCGTGGTTACCTGTCACACACTACTTACAATCGACCTTGCGTAGATGAGGTTACAGAGCAGGGTCATGGGCAAGTCAGAAGACTCTCTGTTTAGTGCGCGTGCACTGTTGTAGAATCCTCAGGCCGCTTTAGGCTGTCCCAAATGTAAGCAATCTCCATGTGCTAGGCCGTCCCAGTTGTCATCCTAGACCTAGATGTCCCCACAGAAGTTTATACAAAAATGGTCATTCTTGAGCGACTGACAGGTGCAGTGGAACAGCTCAGTTTGGGTGATACATTGTCAAACAGTTTTGGAAGTCATCCCATCAAACGTGTCTCACTAAAAGGTTCCCGTTTCAACGCCGCCCCACTCTAAGCTACCTGCTTTCGAAAGACTGCACACCACAGCCCTCGGCTAGCTCGATCGCGCCATTATGTAGCAGGAATAAATCCATGTATAAGAAAGACTTGCAATGAAACATTCTGTTACAACGCCGTGGAAGATGAATGTCTGAAACCGATCGTACTTTACTACTACACTGTGCTGTGTAATATACTATATGTTCAAACTACTAGCCAGGGGGTCGCGTGTTTGAGACTCTCCGCAGTTTGGTGAGATGCGCAATAAGGATGAAACAGCTGTCCAGTGCTCCTCGGCTTTTCACCATAGATTGGCTTCACTTACAGGACGAAATCCCCA